ATAAATAGTAGGTAAGTATTTAAAGAAAGTGATGCTAGTCTAATTATTGATTTATAGTATTAAAAGCAAATTTTTTTTGTAAATATAGGGGAAATTTACTATTGATTCATAATTACAGGGGGTACTTTGTAATTAAGCCTAAAACCAATCCCCACATAAAAACATCCTCGTTTTCCTTTCCATTCGAAAAGGGTTCTCATCTTCTCCAATTGATCCGCATCTCTTCTTTTCTTGCATCCCTAAGTCTACTTTTCCATCCATTTATTATCCTCCTCAAAACCCACTTTCCCACTCTATTTGTGGGTGTTCACCATTGCAGTGCTTTAGAAGTGATTCACTGCAAATCCGAGCCTGAGTAGCAGCACTTGCAAGACGGATCCAAGAACTAGAAAATTTTTTACAAAATGGCCTCAAGTACGAAAGGATCTTGGATCTATCAGTGGAGGTTGACGAGAAAACTTGATTATCAACCGGAGTTGGCATTCTCTGAAGTCTAGGTGATGAAACATTTGTTCAGAATACTCGCTTCTTTAGTAGTTAGGGAGGGAGAATTTGTTGAATCTCGAAACTAAACTCTCTTCCCTATTTATGTCTATACTACTCGATTGTTTTTTGACTTTGCTTGTGGTTGATTTATTTGTTGTCTGACACTTAGGACTTTGGTTATTTGACTCGCGATTTGACTCGGTCATACTCAATGAGTTTTGCCGATTTCTTGTCGATTTAAGTTGACTCGGTTAGTACCAGCCGAATCAACCCGAGTCAACTCCGATACCAGTCAAATGGCGACTTGGGTGTCGGTATTGTACTGGTAGCTTCCGTTTTGGTTATGACTCGAGCGAGTCAACTTGGAATCGGTGGATATGGCGAACCATAGGTGGCATGGCTCTTTGGGGAGGACAGCAAACATGGGTTCTGGTTTTTTGGAAGCATTGTTGAGTTTTCCACTTTTGAATTGTTGAGTGTGTGTGTTCTGCCTTCTGCGTGCATGCACTATGTGTTTGAGAGAGAGAGAGAGAGAGAGAGAGAGAGAGAGAGAGAGGGGGGTTGAAAACTTGAAAGAAAGAAAGAAAGAAAGAAGAAAGAGTTGAAAAATGAAGTTTGACGAAAAAAAAAAGAAAAAAAAGAGAGAACAAAACAAAGACCTTCAGAGGTGGAGATGAAATGGAAGCAATCTACATTGAAGATTTTTATGCGAAGACTTATTTCAGGTAATTTACTCATTTTGCATGATGAAGAAGTGCAGGACTAATGGTAGTTTTTCTTTCTTTTTCATTCTAGCTGGAAACGAAAATGTGAAGGAAGGTTGAGCTAAAGAGGATGCCAACTAAACTGAGAGAACTTCTCGAGACTGGTTTGATAGAGGCATTACCTGTGCGCTTCATGTCATGCCTCCAAGGTGATTTCTCATGACTAATTTTGAACTTACAACAAACATAATTAGTCACACTTGTAATTAATGACTATTGCTTAATTTTCAAAATTAAATTATTGTAATCAACCGGCAAGAAAAATTGCTGGAGTATTGTACTTTTGGGATGAAGGAAAATTATTCAAGAGTGTTGCTCATTGCAGTTATTGAGATGAACCAAAATGATTTGTACTTGTTTCTTTACTATTTTCTTTGTAATTCTTTTTTGGTACGATATTTAATTGCAATTACAAATTAATCATAATATACTAGTTTAAGATCACGCGAGTCGCACGTGATATCACCTCTAGGCTATAATTTTTAATAGCTTATATTAAAATTAACTTGATTATAGTTCTACAAGAAACCATACATGATATGATGAAAATTAGTCACATGAATTCTTTTACATAACTCCATAAATTAAACTATGTCTTAGGAAAATAGCGTATAGAATTTACATTCCAAAAGTAAGAAATTCTATACAGCAAATTCTTGTGAATTTGTTATTTGATTTTCAACATGTTTTAGGCAATTATGTTCATCCATGTCTTCTTTCTTTTCCTTTTTCCCTTAGTATTCCTTTTTGATCATTTTTTTTTATTGAACTGAAAACTTGAATTGGTTGCATTTGATGAATGCATAGGATTTTGTCTTTGTATTGTTCATAAGGCTGGAAGTTAAATCAAATAGGGCAGCATTTAATTTATTCACATGGATTCTTTGAATTGATTTCAAGCATACGACGCCCTGAATTATTTGGGGTCAACAACAAGAATGGTCTGCTAATTTTACCCTTCAATTACGAGGCATCAAATGGGTCCATGACTCCTTCTAGTTAAAATTACTAAAAAGGTGTCAGAGGACAAAAATCGAGCACATTTGGTGGGTGAGAGACTAAAATTACTTTTGGGATGAAGGTAAATTATTCAATGAGTGTTGCTCATTGCGGTTATTGTGGATATATGTTTCATAAAATGATCAAGGGTGTTGTTTGCGAAAGGTAATCAAGGATTGGATTTGCTGATTTTCTTGATTCATCCTTGCTAAGATATAACAGTGCAAACACTTTCATCATCTTTGAGCATGTGATACATCTTTTCTTTTCTAAAACCATTGATTTGAACTTCAAATGCCATTTGATGAATCAACAGAAGAATAATTACTAAAAGCAAGCATTTCACCCTTTCTGTCTCTCTCGGATTTCCCAAGTAAAAGCTTTGAATACTCCACACCACTTTCCAACTCAGTTCCAAACAAGAATTTCGGTTGCACATGCTCAAGATTCAGTTGGGAATAGAAATGGAGCTTTATTTCTTGTCATTAAAAACTTTTTGACTCTCTTAACATTATTGGTGTAAGAATCATTAGAGAAGGGAGATTTTTAGTCATTAGGGTGGTGAATACGAAATTTTAGCTAGAGAGAGCTTGGGAACGTCTTTTCTTGTTCTCTCTAATAAAACAATTGTGAGAACAATTGGAGACTTCATTGTACAACTTATTTTGTTGAAGAAATAGAAGATCATTGGGAGCTTGTTTATCATTTTGACTATGCTTTCTTTATCTATCTTTTTTACCTGTGATTCAATATGTGTTCATGCAATGAAACTATGTACTTTCTTGTCATATATCATATGAGTAACTAAATTTCTAGATTTATGGAGTGGATGAAGCTTATGGCTACTTGATATGAAGTAAATATGATTTACACGTGTTACATCTTGTATTAAATTGTTCATTTATGCATGCTTATCACTTATTGTTGCTTGATCACCAATAACAAGCTTTTAGTTGTTATTATTCAATAAAAAAATTGGTAATAATGATGGATCAATATAAATGGAATTTAAGGAGTAGACTCATGAAAATAGAGATACACTTAAGTGGATTATCTTTAGATTTCATGAAGAACAAAGAACCAAAAAGATTTGTACTTGTTTCTTTACTATTTTGGGATGACGGCAAAGTTATTCAAAAGCTTTTGGGATGACGGCCAAGTTATTCAATAGTGTTGCTCATTGCAGTTATTGAGATGAACCAAAATGATTTGTACTTATTTCTTTACTATTTTCTTTGTAATTCCTTTTTGGATATGATATTTAATTGCAATTACAAAATTAATCCTAGTACACTAGTTTAAGATCACATGAGTCGCACGTGATATCACCTCTATGCTATAATTTTTAATAGCTTATATTTAAAATTAACTTGATTATAGTTCTAAAAGAAACCATACATGATATGATGAAAATTGGTCACATGAATTCTTTTACATAACTCAATAAATTAAACTATGTCTTAGGAAAATAGCATGTAGAATTTACCTTCCAAAAATGAGAAATTCTATACAGCAAATTCTTGTGAATTTGTTATTTGATTTTCAACATGTTTTAGGCAACTACGTTCATCCATGTCTTCTTTCTTTTCCTTTTTCCCTTAGTATTCCTTTTTGATCTTTTTTTTTATTGAACTGAAAACTTGAATTGGTTGTATTTGATGAATGCATTGGATTTTGTCTTTGTATTGTTGATAAGGCTGGAAGTTAAAACAAATGGGGCAGCATTTAATTCATTCACATGGACTCTTTGAATTGATTTCAAGCATACGACACCTTGAATTATTTGGGATCAACGACATGAATGGTCTGCTAATTTTACCCTTCAATTATGAGGCATCAAATGGGTCCATGACTCCTAGTTAAAATTCCTAAAAAGGTATTAGAGGACATTACTTTGGTAGGTAAGAGACTAAAATTACTTTTGGGATGAAGGAAAATTATTCAATGAGTGTTGCTCATTGCGGTTATTATGGATATATGTTTCACAAAATGGTCAAGGATGTTATTTGCAAGAGGCAACCAATGATTGGATTTTCTGATTTTCTTGATTCATTCTTGCTAAGATATAACAGTGCAAACACTTTCATCACATCTGAGCATGTGATACATCTTTTTTTTCTAAAACCATTGATTTGAACTTCAAATGCCATTTGATGAATCAACAGAAGAATAATTAATAAAAGCAAGCATTTCACCATTTCTGTCTCTCCCGGATTTCCTAAGTAAAAGCATTCAATACTCCATTTGAAGATCAATGTTCATGAAAAAAGTAGCTAATTACAAAGAAAATAATAGCTAATTACGAAGAAAATAGAATACTATTTCTTTGTAATTCCTTTTTGGGTAAGATATTTAATTGCAATAACAAAATTAACTATAATATACTAGTTTAAGATCACGTGTGTCGCACGTGATATTGCTTCTATGCTGTAATTTTTATTTGCTTAATTTTGAAATTAAACTTGGTAATAGTTCACAAAAATAAAATTGTGCTGAATATTGTGCTGAAAATAGTGATTTGCATAAAAAAATATATCACTGGGTCGATAAGAGTTATTCACAAAAGGATTGTAATGGCTTAGCTTCACTTTGCTCAGCTTGATGTTCGAGCCTCACTTCCATGTACTGTACTACTGCTACCACATGAAGTAGAGATTCCCTGTCGAGGCTGCAAAGCCTTTGGGTGAGGGAGTATACTGCTCTTCGAAAACAATGAACTAACAAAACCACTGGAACCCTCACAGAAGACATTCAACTAGAGAAGGCATCCTTACTGGATGACAAAATAAGTTTAGGCCTCAAGTCCAATGAGGAGGATGATGGAGCCAGAGTACCCATTGAAGATCCAACAGCGTAAGGAGCAACAGGCACATCGGCAAGAGAAGATGCAGATGGACTATAGCTTAGAGACCCCATTGGGTGGTCAAACATGCCTGAACACCCAAATTTGCATACTTCATTTTGTAAATAGTGATGACAAACAGCCAACACCCGGACGGAGAGGTAGACCCCTGGGGCTAAGGACAAGATTTGCCTTTTGTGCACTCCATTCAGGTTGGTGATGATATCTACAGAAAGGCCAAAATTTATAGTACCCAGTTTTCATATAATACTGGCATTCAGGTTGGCCAAGACTTTCTGAAACTGCATGCTCCTTATGGATGCTACCTGAAGGACCAGCGGCAGGTGGAATAGATAGATAGATACTGTCCTTATATGCTGGGTATTGAAGAAGACAACTGAGTTATTCCATAAACAGGACCAGCTCTCACAGCAGGTTGAGTACTTGCAGTGGGTGCAAGACTTCAGACTCCAGGTAAAAGTTCAACCCAGAACAGGAACCATTCCTGCATGGGGATATGAAGTTTCCATAGATTGCTCATAAAAGAAATCATGAGCTGCCAATTTATTTGCACTATGAAGTACAATTTGGATTCGAAATTCACCTGAATTTTATTGTTAATTGTTAGTAGCTGAATACTATGAAATTCTCTGATGAGATATAACAAAAATGTACAAAATCTCTTGAACCAAGTGACAAGTGACTAATTTACGCTATATTTGTTCGATATTTTATATTATTTTTAGTCACTTTGACAATATTGTAGGAAGAAAATGGATCATTTTGGCTATAATTAGTGTAAAATATTTTTAAGTGATTAAATGAGGTTTTTGTCACTTTTTACTTGAATTTTGTCCATAATTTGTATAGGAGTTGGAAATATACTTCGTTTGGATGAAAAAGCAAGTTGACAGCTTTGACACATCTTCGTATTTTGGCTATAACTTGAGTTACAATTATCGGATTGAGATGATTCTTAAACCATTTTGAAAATAAGAGATAGATCTACAATTCATGTAAAGATGTCAAAATCCAGTTTGAAGGTTTTGTAGGTCAAAAAGTCGAATTACAGTAGACAATTTCTATTGGTCGAAGCTGAAACAAGGCAATGAGCAGTCAAGGGTATTTTGGTCATTTATCAGCCTATACAAACCCAAATGAGGTGAGTTTTGTTGCATTGAAAAGCTAACTCAAAGGGTTACAAGTTTCATGTTTTGGTCAAGAGTTAATTCAGCTTCCATCATCAAGAAAAGTTCCGTTAAAGTTGAGGCAGAAGTGGAGCAACATTGAAGACTGGATAGAAATTGCAAAGAAAGGCAGGGGAGCAATCCGGCCGAATTCTGGCCGGATTTTTGGCCGAATTCTGGTCAGAAATGACTGCTCTCTACTTGCACAACTTGTTTCCTCCTCCAATAATTCACAACTATTGATGGACGTGTGACACCAACTTTGCAGCTGTAAAAGTGATATTTGAAGCCTTAATTCTTGACTAGAGTTCTCTATATATAGCCATGGACTTTCAAAATTAGGGAGAACTTGGAGAGTGCAAGAATACTACCAAAAATGTAGTTCTTACATTTTCTTAGTGTTAGTTTAGTATAGTATATGATAGTTTAGTTAGTTAGTTCATCCTTCTTGTTTATTAGCTAGATGAAGAAGAGGTTGGAGGATAAAGAAGGCAAGGAGATGAACTCATGTGACAAGGGTTACATTTCATTCCAATTTTTTATCTTTTGTACTTGATTCTAAGTTTAGTTAATATACAAATTATGGATTTATATGTTATTATGTGTTTCTAAAGTTTATGCCTTGGGTTTGGTTGAACTTTCTATGATTGTTAGTGTTTCGTATTTGGCTATTTGATGCTATTATTTTGAACAAGTTATTTAGCACTTTAGCTCTTTAAATCATGATTAATTTGGTACCATTAATTGTGATTATCTAAAGGTGTTGTTTCTTCAATGAAAATTGAGATTTAACACTAGTTCAAGAAGTGCTAAACCTAAGGAGTACACTCACGAGAGTAGAGGTGCACCTTTGTGGCTTCAATGATTCATTTCATGTAATTTCATAGAATAAATAAACTTGTAACTAATTTCATAACCACGAGAGTAAGTATGGATTAGTTATAAGTATAGTTGATTCACTACGAAAGTAGGTTTCACATGCATAAGGAAATTATGCCATAACTAGCCAAGATAGTAGTACTCAATTATCCAAAGATAGCACTTGCATGAATAGTTAGGAATACCATAACCTAAGGAGTTTTCATTTGTTATTATCTTGCATAAGTTTAGCATAGTTTTATTTCTTTTAATTCTTTTAATTCATTGATCGTCTAAATAATAGAGAAGTTTTAGTAGTGCCGATAATTGTCCAATCTTTCTCATGGGATCGACCCGATATATGTCCTAAACTACTAGTTGACCTGTATACTTGCAGTCAAAACAGGTATAAATTGGATTTAAACTTGTACTTATAACAAAAACCCGTCACCAAGTTTTAAAGTATTAATGCTGTTGTTCATGCTTGTTTCATCTGGGAAAAGCATTAGGTATTTAAATAGTTTCTTATTTAAAATATTGTTCTTTGTAAAATGGAAGCTATGGAATATTTCTACTACGTGCAATAAACGTGCTTTAAAAAAAATCTGAACACTAATTTAAAGTCATTTTGTTTAATTACCTGTTAATAATCAGTGAACTTGCATAGCTTATTTCATTTACGTTATGAGTATAATTCAGATCACTATATTGGCCAAACCACTTGACTTCATACATGTCTTTTTTATTCCCCCCTCTTTTGGTGAAAAGGAATGAAAATGTTCACAGAAAAGAGTTTGAATGCTTAGTTCCACAGATATTAATTGGAAATTGGTGGATTTTCTTTGAACAGTTCTTTAAATTGGAAATGAATGATAGAGGTCCGAGATTTAGCTGAGGGGGCTATTTTTTGGATTTTGAAAGATGGCTTGGCTAATTTCCGGTTTGATAATTGGGATCATACAGGTCCCTTATATAATACTGCATCAGTAATTGCAGATCATCGGGTAATAGACTTTGTTTGAGATGGAGTTTGGGATCAAAATCTATTAAACCAGTCGCTGCATTCGGTTGTGGTCAGTCAGGTTTCACAAATTTCTCCTCCCTCCTTGCACGCTAATGATGATATGGTTTGGTCTCTTTCATCTACAGACAAGTTCTCCACGTCTTCGTGTGAGGACCCGCAAAATTTCTTTCTTTTATATTATTTTATTTTAATTCTTCGAATGCATTTTCATTACTTTACTTTCTTATAAGTATTTTTCAGAGATTTTTATAAGTAAGTACAGTTTAAAAATCATTTTCTAGTATAAGTTCGTTTATGTGACATTAGTAGTGTATATTGGATGTGGGATCCGCTAGTGCGTCAAGTACGATACATTTTGACGAATGAGTGAACGTGGTATAAAGGGATATTATTTTTACAAGGTGCTAGGAGATAATTAGAGGATAGTTAGATAAAATGAATCATTGTTAGACAAAAGGATGAGAATGAACTTTAAAAAGCCAAGTGTCACTACACTATTGGAGGGTGGACTTTGACCAAGCTTATTTAACTTTCCTAAACTCCAATTTTGACTCAATTTTCTTCCATTTTAAACTTCCCTTGGCCGGCCCTCTTGAGGAGAGAAACAAGAGAGAGAGCCTTCACCTTGTCTTTCAATTTCTTGCTCAAATCTTGAATTCTAACAATTAGTTTTGTAAACCACTCCATAAAAGTGCTAGTCAAGGTAGTTTCCAAGGTAGTTGTGGAGTAAATTTGGGAGGAAGAAACCTAAGCTACCATCTTTCTTGAGATTTCAAGGTATCTTGCTTAAAAATCTCTCCTTATTCTTACTAATGGCAAATTATTGGCTTGTAGTTGTTGAATATGTTGTTTTGTGGAAGATTTCATGGTTTGAGATAGGTTTATAGTAAATTTCAGATTTATTGGTGATTTTTCTGCCCTCCTATGATGATTAATGGTTGGCTATGATCTACTAGCTTTGACATGTGATAAATCTAGTGTTTAAGTGCTAGGTTATTTTACCTAAAGAAATTTCCAGCTTGGGTGCAAAAATTTCAGCTTTAGGGTTTCTAATTTGAACTGCCATTTGGTTGTATTTGAAGGGTATTGTGACCCTAATTAGGTGTGTTCAATAACTTGTGATTTATATGGAAAATTGTTGCTGAAATGAGATGAGATTGGGTGTTGATGTTAGGTTGAAAAAGTAAAGAAAAACAAGGGAAGTGCTACTGAATTCTTCGCAGGAACCCTTGAGCAGTTTTGGAAAATTTGCTATATCTTCTTGTAAAAATATCGGAATTGAGTTCTGTTTATTGTGTTTTAAACTAGATTTATAGAGCTATAAACCGTGAAAATTTCAGACCCTGTCTCTGTCTGTGTGATTTATGGTAATTTTTCAAATTTGACTGAAATTGCATACCTGTTCTGTCTTTTACTGGATAAAACAGCTATTTGAGGCTCGAATTTGACTGACTTGTGATCTGAATCTTATAAATATGTCTTCTGAGAAATTGTACCCCTTTGAGTCTATTTTCCGATGGTATAAATTTTATCAATTTTGGACTTAAGAATCTTGAAATATGATTTTTCTAATAGTGGTGCGCAAAATTGGAAAATCCTATTTTCCTAAAATTGTCCTTACTCTCATTTTCCACCTTAAGTTTGGAGTTAGTAAATCATTGTAGGTATGATTTTTGGTAGAAGTGAAGGATTTGGGTTCATTTATGTTCTTAGGACCAACCGTTACCTTTTTACTCCAAAACTGCCTTTTTATCTCCTTGTACTAGTAGTTAACTCGGAAAGACATACGACTTGTAGTCGAGCTTCATTTATACATTCTATTTACTGGATTTGTGAATGTGGGAACTATAATTGTTTTACCTTGGTTATTCTAGGGTTTCTCGGTGATTAAAGCCATATTTTGGGTGAAAATTTTTGAAGTCTTTTTGCTTGAATTGGTGAGTTTACCACTCCCTTAATTTGGTGCTTACCTGATTTATCTGTACTTGCAATTTGCAACCTGATTATCTGTGACTTCTGTATACTCTGTATGAAATGAGGGTGTACTTTATCACACTCGTCTCTTTTGGCTGTCTGTTCTGGTTCCTGTATACGTTTGAATCTGTTATTTGTATCTGTTTTAATGTCGTTTGGAGATTTGTATCCAACGACCCTTTCGTGACTTTTGAGCTCAAAACCTGTGGCTAGTTACTCGAGTTGAACCGGCAAGGGTCTGGTCGATTAGATAATGAACCACGGTAGTCTGTTTTTGGGAAATCTTTGGGTATTGGAGACTCTGGATTTTCGGTATACTCGAGTATTACCACCC